TCTCAGCCTCACGAGAATGTGGATCCAAAGCTGCTAGAATCTTTCAGCTTAAAAGAAGGTAGGGAGGAAGAAGGCTGCTGAGAGTTAAATAGAAACAGAACAAAACAAAAGAAAAATCACCCCCCAAAACCCCACTGTTTTCCATGAATAAAAGGAGGAACCTGAATCACATGAGGACTGGACTGTCTTAGTTCTACACTTGGTTATGTGGCTGCACAAAGAAGAGGAAGTTTGGAGAAGGTTTCAGTGACGTAAGGGAAGGTTTTATGTAGGGCAAGACTAAAAATGGATTTATTACCTAAAAAAAGGTTCCTCCAACTATCTAACAGTTTCCATAATCCCTTCCCTGCTACTCCTGCCATAACCCTAATGCTTCTATCAGTAGTCCTTAGCTAATGCCAGAGCTGGACCAAAGTACTTCCCTAAGTTTCCTTCACACCCATAAGCATGCTTTTGTTTTTGTTTGTTTTGCACTGGGTTGTATTTGGGTAAAATGCCTGTGTGTGCCACGTGGAACTACTATAGACTTGGAAGCCCAAGGCTTGTATCAATTGTCATTTTCCTGGAGCAACAACTAGTCTCCTGCATGTTCTTATGACAGTCCTCCAAAGAGAGGATTTGATTCCAGAAGAGGTGGTAGTTGTGTAGGATCCTGGGTCCAGCTGGGGAAGAACTTTGGGAAAAGAAGGATGTTAGTTGCTGTAAACAATTCATGATCCCCTTGGACCAGATGCTATGGCTCAGTTCTGGGCAACAAAGGTTCTGAATCAAATCAGGCCCTGAGGTCTCCCTCGCTGAAGAGGGGGAGGCATATGAGCCCAAAGGACAAAGCAGAACTACCTGAGAGGCTGAGCTATGTGGAGATAGCCCCCTCTGTGCCACACTTACTTATGCGGTGGTGCAGGGTGACTATCAGTTTGGACACTTTCAGTTGCAAGGGATTGTAAATCCTATCAACATTAGATTAAAGAAAAGGAAATATATGGGCTTATATATCACTGAAGTAGAAAAAAATTGAAAAATCAAAAATAGTTCACTTTTCAGTTATGGCTGGTGTTGTAGGTTGAATTGTGCCCCCCAAAAGATATGTTGAAATCCTAACCTCTGGTGCTTGTGATTATGACTTTATTTGGAAATAGGGTCTTGGCAGATGTAATCAAATTAAGATGAGTTCATACCTGAGTAGGGTGGGCCCTAATTCAGTATGCCTGTTTATAGAAGAAGAAACAGACATAGACACAGACGAACAGGGAAGACACATGTGAAGCCAAGGAGTGCCACGGATTGCCAGCAACACCAGAATCTAAGAGAAGGGTCTGGAACAAATTCTCTCCTAGAGTCATCAGAGCTCTGGTCCTGCTGACACCTTCCTTGATTTTGAACTTCTGGCCTCCTGAACTGTGAGAGAATATATTTCTGTTGTTTTAAGCCACCCAGTTCGTGGTGCTTTGTTGCAGCAGCCCTAGCAAATGATACAGCTAGACTTAGAGGTTCATGAGTATCTCCAAGGCTTGGTGGCTTCCTACCTCTCAACTCTTCTTTCCTTCATGTTGGTTTTCTTACCAGCCTCTGCATGGCAGCCAATAACTGCAGACTTGTATATTCTTCCAGAAGCAAGTGCAAAGGGAAAAATTATGCCTCTCTTCTAATATCTCAACAAATGTCTGATGATTCTTTTTTTTTT